CCCCAAAACCCCAAAACCCCAAAACCCCAAAACCCCAAAACCCCTTTTTGAGATGATAATATTGAATAAAACTAGAAATTTATCTTTCTCGCTCTGAGAGAAGCGCCATCCAGAATGCTTTTCCTACCTTGGCGTGAGATGTTCTCATGTTTGTACATCAAATCATCTCTGGGTCTTTGATGCTTGAAAGGAACGGTCTTGTCTTTCTTTTTCAGAGAACTAAAGATTTCATCCAAGGGTTTGTATGCCTCTTGACATAGTATTTCCTTCTCTTGTGAAGGTCTTGAAATATACCTTTTAAAGTCAGGTACTTTACCTAATGAGCGCTTGGAGTATTCATAGTTTGCATCATACGTGTGCATATTAATCGGTGGCTCAATAATGTCCTTTCTGCTGGTATATTTGTTGAAATTTGGAGATGGGGATTTTCTCCCACTAGATAATACATTTATATTTGAAGTATTAACTTCAAATCTCTTTTCATTACAGTCCATATCTGCTCTTAAAGGAAGTCTATTTGATTGCTTGTCAAATGGAGTAACACTTTTGCATCTTTGCCTTGTTGAAATACTTTCTTCGGAGGGCTTAAAGAGCTTCATTTTAAGATCATACGGATTAAGCTCTTCATCGAAAGAGCAATTCACTTTTCTAAAGCACCATCTGACGATATCTTCATCAACTCGGGATTTATCTATACATAATAAATATTTTCTATGTTTAAAACTTACTGCTTAATAATTTTCTGCTAATGGGTTTATGAGATACTTCAGTTGCTGCTCGATAGCTTGATACTAGCCCAGAGAGGGAATTCATTCTCTGCAAATCCATATCTGCTTTAGCATTTTCCTTTATCCCTGAGTTTCTGTGGATATTAACCTTGGATAAACTATTTGCTCTCATTGGTTCAGAATCACTACCATTGACAAGTAATATAGAATTTCTTCTGGCAAAATTTTTTTTTGCCTGATTTCTCTGCTCTTCTTCAGCATAGTTCTTTTTACACTTCTTAAACTTGGTAACTATGCTGTTGATGTAATTAGTTCTTGTATCCTTGATAGCAAGCTTCTTCTTCAAATTTGTGGTATGATTCAAGAGAATCTCCTTTTTCTTTTGTAGCACTTTATTTACGCTAAGATTAAGTTTATACTTCACACCTCCTTTAATTTTGCTATCAACCATTTTATAAGAAGGGTTGTAATGGTACATTGAAGGAATATTCTTGGGATCCTCTGTACTAGCACCACTAATCTTTTGAATTGATGGAGGTAGCTTATAGATTTTACTCGCAGACTCTCTTGTAGTAGTAGATTTGAACATGTTACTCAAAGAATCATTCTGAATAGAAATAAGAACAGGTCTAAAACTTTGTCCACTTAAATAACAGAAATCCCAGTTAGTTCATCACTTACCTTCATATCTCTTCTATCATCCTTACTCTTATCAGGTGATACATATTTGTCAATATCAAATTTCTTGCTAGTCTCATTAAGTTTATTACCAAAAACCGTATCATAACTCTCAAAGTACTCTCTAGAATCCTCTTCCTTTTGATTACGTTTTCCTGTGTCAAGGCTCTTGGTCCCATCACTGAAGCTCATGTACTGATTTATAGTGGTCTTGCCAGCTCGGGAGAACATGGCAGTGCCTGGGCCACTCTGTTTGGCAAACTGTGTGTGAACAATCATTTTATTTCTATTTTAAATTTATTCAATATTCTCTCAATGTGAGGGGTTTTGGGGTTTTGGGGTTTTGGGGTTTTGGGG